GGTAATTTAATTTTTCTTCCAGTGCTGGTGCTTATATTCCTTGTTATATATACTTGAGAAAAATTAATTACACTCTTATAAACATACAAAAAATCTAAAAGGAAAATATCACATGAGAATGCCCTACTATTCTTCTGACTGAGAATACTTAAATACCAGCTCTCTGTAATAGCTGACTTTATAGTATAGCAGCCATTTAATCTGCTTACATATTTCCAGTCCTTGTGATTGCCTTGTGCCTTTGACTGAGGACAGCAGCTCCAACTCCAGAACATGGAGTAATGTTGTAATGCTGAAAACAGAAGAAAGGAGATTTACCATGAACGAAGCTTATCAGCAAACTTGTATGTGCATGCCAGGTCTGACCCACAGCACAAAGTTCTCCTTCTGTGTACACTGAGCCTGCCAAACAAAGTCAGGAAGTATTAAAGGAAGAATTATCTCATCTAAATTATACCTGTGTAAATGACATCTGTCAAATTTAAACTTATTTTCTAAATTGAACAGAAAGTCGCCATTCCTCCTCATTCACTTTATTCTAACTTTCGAGTAAATTACACTTAAATTGTTGTAAGTAACCACCTTACTTATGACAGTTCTACAGAGGGAGGGCAATGATTTGTTTAAAGTAGATTGGTTCACGATGAGTAAGTGGAATTAGGTGAGATAAACCCCATCATTCCTGACCGGTTTATTATATTGACTCATAGGGGAAATACTGCAGCCAAAAACCACAGTAATGACTGCGTCAGTGATGACCATTCAAAACGACACAGTCTCTTATGAAAATAGTTAATTCGGTTAAACCAAGGTTATATCCATAGAAAATAGAAGTGTGAAAACCTCCAGAGGCATTTTACTCTTGATATTCATAGACATTATCCCACATGCACAGCAGTGTCACATCTCCTCTGCCTCTCAAAGGAAACGCTTCTCTGGGTCTTCTCTCTGTGGCTCTTCTAAGTGTTCCCCTCACGCTGACGGCCCTTGGTGCTTCCAGCAGAGGAAGCAGAAAGCCAACATGAAGCTGTAGCATTTGCAAAATGAAAGCTGAGGTTTGACTCATCAGAAGAGACTTTTGGTTAGCAGACTGTAAATTTTACACCTACTTTATTTTCCTAAGATGCTTCTAGTTAATAGTAGTTCATGTCTGGAGTTGGTTTTATAGAGTACTTAGCAATTCCTAATTAGCCTTTTCTATCACTCCTATTATATATAGTAGTTTTGGTGTCACTTACTTAGGTATATGTATTGACGCCAAGTTCAATTAGCTTGTGAAAACCAAGGAGGTACCTGTAAGAAGTGAGACCACACTCATGCAAACCACTTCCTAAATCATGGCTCTTCAGCCAATAGCTGCTGACTGCATGAGGGAGATCTCTCTTATCGAACACCTAAGCATCGTCTCCAAAGAAGAAAGGAAACAAAAGCAGATGCCTTGCTCATATCTGCACAAATATTTAATATACAAAGGGGGATTATCTTAATTAAGATATTCAACCTGCAACAGTATCAGCTTGGATTTGTACAGTCCTAAAATATCGAAGATGAAATCTACACATGGAGTTTTCAGGCATCACTGAAAGCAAGTATTAGGGTTTTGCAGAAAATGAAGACTACCCAGGGACTTCCAGTGTCAGGCAGCAGATTTGAAAGAGCCCTCCAAAGGTTTCAGGACAGATTTACTATTTCTGGGGGCTGTAATTTTCTGAAATACAGAAGTATGGTTGTTCTGAGAGCATTTTAGTTCCTACTGCTGAATTAGTTGAAGATCCCTGAAATTCTCCAGAGATACTAACTTGCAGTAGAGAGTTGAATTCCTTTTTTGATTCTGAGAAAAAAAGTTCAGTTTCCCTCCTTAAGCACTGCAGCCACACTAACTCATAAGCTGAGTCAACACGCTGGGAGCTCCAGCTGAATTCCATGTTTTCTGCATATATAAACCACTATATATGATATCTGCACTGCTTATAGTACCAGCATTAGTTAGGGTAAGTTTTGAGGAGCTGCATCATGGTCATAAATGCACCTTGCAGACTTGCCACACAGCCCTCAAACTTAACCCAGTTATAATGCAGAATGAGACAGGATGAAGTAAATATGGTTGGGTTGGAACAAATGCCTCACTTCTTCATGAATAAGATGAAAAGGAGTATCAATGGTCCTGAACGACTGCAGGAAAAACACATTTCATAAGACCATTAAGAATCATTAATGAGAAACGATGCAAAAAGCTACAAAAATATTCTAGTGAATGCTTTCACTTAGAGAAGGTGTTAAAAAATATTTTAATTGCTTCCGAAAGTGTAAAATGCACGTGAAACCAGGACAAAAAAGCTAAGCAATAACAGAAATATTTTAACAAACAATAAAGTTTGTTCACAGTATGAAGGCTTTGAAAATTCTTGGCTATTTGAATGATGCATGAGCCAAAAATTATGCATCAATGGAATTTTTCATTTATGGAGTAAAATAACCCACACTACAACCAGAATTGGGGTGGTTGGTTTGTTTGGATTTTTCTTGTTATTTTAGTTTGGTTTTGTTGTGCTTTTTTTCAGAAAAACATAACCTAGTAACCACCCATCTGCATACTTGGGAGTTTAAGTGGTACCTTTTCTCCTTCTATCCCTGAGATAATAAACCTGAGGACTTTAATGCAGATTTTTTATTATTTAAAACCAATACTGAGAAAGTGATTAACCGGCAGGCTTGAAGAGAAAAAAATATAGATTACATGTTGGCAAGTAGTAAAGACATTGGTTGGATGGAAATGGGATATACATTGAATATACAGTAACAGAGGAATACTTGAACTCAAATTTTGCATACACATTACATTGTGTTTGTATAATACTTTCAGTTCTTCTTTTTTTCTGGTAATATTTCAAAATAAAACTTTGCTTGAGTGGGTAGGCTTCCCTGTTTTTGTTTCAAATATTTCCCTTTTTTTCCCCACACAGTCATTTTTCTGTATATTATTAAATGAATAACCAAATTCAATGATTTTCAGAACTTCTGGAGCAGTGTTTTCTGAATGACAGGGAAATGGCAGGTTGGTGAAATGAATACTGAACTTTTTTGTGTGTTCAAAACCCAGACTGTTCATTACTATTGTTTACCTGTTTGGTTAAAACCCCCCCAAACAAACAACACTTTTTCTGTTATTTGTTTTCGGCCAATCCTTATGAAAAGGATTCTGCTGGATCTTAGGGAATCTGTCTAGCACAGTATGTACTTCATCATGCACTCAAGGCTTGGCAACTGCTCACTGTTTATTTCCCATATTTGTTTTCCATATTTATCTGATTGCATACCGCACACTTTTCCTAAGTTCTATATTTGTTTATATGGTTTATATAGGGTTACTTTATTTAGTGGAAATGTCTTTCCCTTGACAGCTTGCCCTGCTCCGGGCTTGGTGGGTTCAGTGGCTGCTTCCCAGCCTCCTTGCTGGTGAGGGACTGGACTCGGAGCCCAGATTTGCTGTCCTGTGTCCCAGATACAACTCGGGTAGATGCTTGTGGAGGAATGGAATTTCCCTTTTGTAAGATTTCAGCAATCATTTCATGCATCCCCTCAAACCCAGCTAACCCATGGGGTTTGGCCTCTTCTCCCAGGCAACTAGTGATAGGACAAGATGACTTAACCTGCAACACGGGAGGCTTACGTCAGACATGAGGAAGAATTTCTTCACAGAAAGAATGGTTAGATATTGAAACGAGCTGCCCAGGGAGGTGGTGGAATCATCATCCCTGAAGGTGTTTAAGGAAGGACTGGATGTGGTGCTTAGTGCCATGGTTTAGTTGACATGGTGGTGTTGGGTCATAGGTTGGACTCGATCTCAGCGGTCTTTTCCAACCTTACTGATTCTGTGATTGTGTCAGCTTCCTTGCACCCTTACCCGCGTTCAGAGGGAGTGAGCGTCTCCCAGCCTGGAATGACCACTTCCTTGTCAATAGAACAGTAACAAGTGCTTAAAATCGCATTATTTAGCAAGAAGCCCTCACTGTCCAGCGCCAGCCGTCACGCATAGGGTGCGGCACAGCCGCTCGCCCGGCTACTCCTTCACGGGGCACGGTCCCAACGAGGTCCCTGCCACCGCCCCCTCAGCCGCGGGTCTCGGACCGAGCACGGCGGGACCCACCGGGACCACGGCAACCCCGCGGCAGCCGCGGGGAGGGGAACCGAACGCTGGTGCCGCCCGCTGGCGGCCGAGGGGAAGCGGCGGCGCCAGGAGGGCGGCGGTGGCTCCGCCCCGGCTGCAGCGGGGCGTGGGGCCGCTCTCGGCTGCGCCGGCGGGGACGGCAGCAGCCGGCGGGGTCCGCGTTGGCCGCCGGTGGGGACCCAGTGCTGCCCCGCCGCGCCCGCCCGCCCCATCGCACGCTGTTGTCATGGAGGAGCCAAGATGGCGGCGCTGGCCTACACCGGGGGCAAGCGGGAGATCAACTACTACTTCAGCGTGAGGAGCGCCAAGGCGCTGGCGCTGGGCGCCGTCCTGCTCCTCACCGCCTGCCACGCCGCCTCCCGCCGCTACCGAGGTGAGGGGGCGGCCGCGGGCGCTCCGCGGGGGGCCACGGCAGCCGGGCAGGGGAGGCGGAGCCCCGGGACCGCGGCCGTGCGGGGAGGGCGGCAGGTCCCCGCGCCCGGGGCAGCCCCGGCGGGCCGGAGGCTGGCGGGGGCGGCAGGCGCGGCCCTGCCCCGGCGGGCCGGGGCGGCGGGGCAGCGCGGCGGGACAGGTCGGCGGGACAGGTCGGCGAGAGGGGACCCGGCCTGCGGGGCCCTGCGGGGCCCGACCGGGGGGTCGCCGCAGCTCCCGCCATCGGGGCGAGGCCCCGCGGGACGAGGGGGCTGAGCGGGGCTGGAGGGGCCGTGGCGATGCGGTGTTTGCACCGAGAGCGCAGCGCAGCTCCCGGGGCCCGGCCTGCGGCAGGTGAAGCTGCAGGGCTAGAGGGTGACTTCTTCCCTGTCACTTGTTCCCTTACGGGATGATTAATTACCTTGGTAATTAGGGGTTAAAGTCTTAATTGGTACGAGACTTAGTAGTGTATGTAATTTCACTCCTTGAACCATCGCCTCGAACATAACAGAGTCGGGCCGCGCTGGAGGCTGAAGCGAACCGAGGAGCTGCTCGGTTTCACGCGTTGTCAGTGGCCGTGGAACAGGCGGTGACCGAGCTCGGGGGACCGACCGCAGCCGTGGCCGTGCCCGGCTGTGCGCGGCGCGCCGGGAGCTCCGCCGGCTCCGCTTCTCCGCGGTTGTTTTGGAGCAGCGAATCTTGGCGTGATCCGTAAATGCAAATAGAAATGCTGAAGGAAATATTTTCTTGTTTCCCTGTCACGCTAAAAAATGTGGTATGTTTCTGTGGGCAAATCAGAAAGTTGATCCACAGAGAGATCACTGCGGCTCTGCTTGTTGTAGGACAACTGGTGTCGGGTTCTAACACCTGCTGCCAGCATCCATGGAAGGCCAGGCTGAGGCAGTTCATTGTCGAAATGGGAAAGGGGGTAGGGGTCTTTATGGATACGATTCCCCAGGTTCATCCTCTGGCTGGCATGTCAGTAAGTCTGATAAACTGACTGGTGTTAAGTTGGAAGACACGGAAGCATTTACTAAATTCTGGAGGAACTCAGGCATGAGGTATTTGAACTTGCCTGTTGTGCAATGTTCTTAAGGCACAAGAGAGTCACAAAACTAGACAGGAGGAGGGTGGCAAATGTGATACATTTTTAAAGAGGGCTTGCAAGACTTGCCTAAGAAAATAGGGACTACCATATCAAGCAGGTTACAGGGAAACTAAAATACGTATAATTGCAATATATTTGGGGAGAGTTAACGAGGGGGGTGAATCAGAGATTGCAAAATGGTGAGAATCTGCTGGCCTTTACGTAAGTTGGTATGGTCTGTGTGGAATTGTTACAAACCTTTCAATAAGTTTTTTTTGCCTAAGGCTTTTAGTTTTTTTAAGCAATTAGAGGGTGAGAAGTTTTCCTGTAATTGTTTAAAAGGTTGGAGGACATGGTCAGAGCAAATAGAGAGTTACCAGTTTGGGCTTCTTTGGACAAGTAACATTCAGAAGAATGAATAGTTTAGGAAAGGAGGGTGGAAGATTTATAGCAGACAAGAGTTTTTAGGATAGATAAAAGTGGAGGTGCTAGAGAGATCATTTTGCAACCCTGCGGTGATATCAAACATCTGAAGTCCAGCAAATGCCACAATACTCTTGGCAACTAATGAAAAAAGCAGATTTTGCTGTGATACTACACAGCTAAAGCTAACTGGCATCTCGCTTATTGTCAGTGGTGTTTGTCACCCCCTCTTAGTAGCGGTATAATAGAACCGGAAAACATGAACTAAAGAGTAACACAAACAACAGAAGAATAAAAGAGCTTATCTGCAAGAAGTAATGAAATAAAATAAAATTCTGTGGCCTGGACAGAGACTTAGTAACTTGTTAATGGTTAGTAACTTGTTAATGACTTGTTAGTAACTTGTTAATGTTATGAATTATTGGGGAAAGGTAAATTCCTTGTGATTGTGTCATAACCCAAAAAGTGTCAAATGAAAAATGAAATTAATAGGCACTATATTTAAAATTATCAGAAGAAAGCACTGTTTTTCTACATTAGACATTCTGTACCAAGATTTTATACCAAAAATACCCCAAAAAGGTTATCCTGATTTGCAGAGGGTGGATGAGGTGGGCCTGCTAACAGGCTCAGAGGTGCCAGGCTGTGAAAGCTGGGCCGTGCCAGGGAAGGGGTTGCTGTGTTTTTCATGCTTTTATACTTTTTCTTTTGTCTGATTGTCATTACATGGAAAGGTTTCAGCTAATTTTGGCCTCAGTCATTCAAGTACATGTTGTAGATAGGAGAAGCCCAGTGCAATTCCCAGTCAAATTTGCCTGTATAAAAGTTATTTTGTGAAAAAAAGCTGGACTGGGGTTGTGGAAGGTCAGGGAGACTTATATTTATGGGACACCTGCAGCACTAATAGATTCTCTTTAAAACTACATTTTTTCATTTTGAATGATAGAGAACAATTGAATTTCCAGTTCTTCGAAACAGAGAGTGGGCCTTTTAGAGAAAGCATTGTGAAATTTAGTCTGTTGTGGCACTGAATGAAGACTTTGAGATTTCACAGTTACAGTGGAATAACCGCGGTTTTAAGGAATGACAAATTAAAATAATGAGCATAATAAAATTCAGAGAAATTATACACTTGGTATAACTATACCGTAGTGTATCTATACCAACATAAAAAGTAATGTGTTGGAAGGATAACTTACACGAAGGAAGAGTTTAAAAAGAATGTTTTGTGTATAAAATGGCTCTTGGAATTCTTTTTCTCAGATTTTAGGTTGGGTTTTTTTGTTGTTATGTTTTTTGGGTTTTTTTTCTTTTAACATCTCATTAATGATTAAGAAGAGCATGGTTCTTCAGCTGCTATTTCATTTCCTAAGGCAGACTTGGGTATTTCTGGAGGCACCATCTTGTCTGTAAGCTCCAGTTTACTTTCTTGGCTGCTGTTTCAGTCTGGTTTTATTCCCCTCTCTCATCTTCTGCCTGTGACTTCTACTGTTATGTTTAAAGGAAGATATCAGACACAAGTAACTCTCCTAATAAGTTTCAGGAGCTTTCTAATATTGCTGAAGGCAACAATAAGATATTCAGTACTTGGAGTTAGGAAAGAAGGTGTAACTAACTTCTTGACCTGAAATATTGTCTCTATGTTTAAAATGTATACAATGTGTGATGTTTGGAATGTTACATCAGTGAACACACTGTAGATGGAGGATTATTTCATTTGTGGGTAATTATGGAGAACAGAGGAACCAAGCTTGGGTCATGATCTCAAGATACAGATTTTCTCCAATCTCAAAAACCTGATTGAGGAAGGATTGATAGTGGTCTACAGATATGATAGACATGAGTCCAAACTGCCTTTTCCTACTGAAGAACCAGGGACTGCCAAGTTTTCTAGTAGAAACCGTATTTAAAATAAAGGGAGGTGATTCTTCAAGCATCAGCTGTGGGTATGGAAAACTCTTAAAAAAGGATGCTCCGGATGCCAAAAGCTGAGGACTGTATGTCCAGTTCAGGAAGTCCCTGGACTGAACATAGTTGGAAGAATATCAGACAAGATCATAATGTTTACTTGCCCTGTTCTTGTTCATCTCTGAGCATCTATTCATGGCCCCTGTTGAAGGCAGAATACCAGGCTAGACTGACCACTGGTCTGACTGTGCATCTTCTTCAGCAAGTTATTGGATTTCAGAGGGAATCTGATTAAGTTATAGATATTCTTTTATATGGTTCACTCTTATATCACTTTGATACATCTCCTAGTTCTCATCATCTGCAAAGTGGAAGACTTTGTAGCAGTAATAACTCTGAGTCACCTATTCTCATTATCAGTGAGAATGTCTCATGTTGCTTAATGCAACTTACTAGAAATGGTAGTTTACATAAGTGTGCATGTTTGAGAATTAGGGAAATTGTGTTGCTTGAAAGCCAAAATATAAGTTGAGTTTAATGCAGTCAGTGGTTTCACAGAAAGTGTCAAGTAAGGGCAGTGGTACATTGTTCCTGCACAAGCAGCACAAGTCCCTACCATTTCATTCACCACCATTTCCCTGTTTGTCAGTGCTCGGAAATGCCAAGTATGACAAAAATGTTGGAGGGCAATTTCTCTTGCAGTGAATGGTGTTCAGTTGAGCTCAGTTATAACACAGCAGATTCTGATGTGGAGCTGGAAAGATAAAGTCACTGATTACATAATTTTATTTATAAGAACTTAATATGACTGAAACATCATCACCTGTAAAGTGGTTCATCTTAATTACTGTAAAACTTAATGAGTGGAAAAGGTACCTGAAGTTCAGAATTGTCGGCAGATTCTTTTGTAAATGTTTTGGGGTTTTTTTGCATATTAACCCAGCAGGTTAACCCACCTATTATAAGGTGACTGCTAACTCTTAAGCAGGGAGATGTAATAGACTTTCTTACCAATCTCATATTAGATTCCTGTTCTATACAAGATGCTGTGCATGATGATTCTGTGTAGAAGATTATTTTATTGAACGATGTATTCTTTAATTTCGTATTCCAGTGTACTCTGGATAGTAGATAGCACAGTGGATTGGCATCTTTTAAAGGAAATGCCATTCCAAGTCACAACATCTTTCTGATAACAAAAGTGGGATCACTAACATTTTGTGGAGAGAGTTGTGATTTACAGAGCAGTGTGGTATAATGAGCAAGAAGGCAACTTGCAGAAACTTGTGGAAGGTGTTTTTATGATAAGTTATATTTGTTTACTACTGTTGATTGTTCCAATTCTTGTGTTTCCAATATTGTCAAATTATTTTTTATAATAGCAATTGGGCTATGTTTTACATTTCATGCAGCTGAATTCTAATCTTAATATAACATTTTCAAGGTGGCGATACATGTGAGTATCTTCTGTCCAGTGGGAGATTTCTTGGAGAAAAAGTATGGCAACCTCACAGTTGTATGATGCATAAGTATAAAAATAGGTAAGGAAACTCATGTCTTCTGTTCATCTGCACGAAAAGAAGAGTCATTGTTATTTGACTGCAGCTGTAGTAATTGCAGTATCTTTTACTGTTTACTTCATAGCTGACTCTCTAGGCTTTCAAAAATATACAGTATATATCAAAAAGAAGCCTTTTCCTTGTACATTATGTGTGTATCTACAGTGCTTACCATAGCTGTATTTCTATAAAAAATATAAATAAATATGGGTGATAGAGGTACTGGCATGAGTTATGGAGAGCCACATGAGACTGCATTGCTTCATATGTCGCTCTCAGATTGCTGAAAGAGAAAATGCTGATCTTATGTGTCAAATTGCGAGTAAAAGTATCCCAAATAAAATTACTAATTGCTTTATTGCTATCTTTCACCTACTGGTAAGAGAACTTTTTTTTTTTTTTTTTAGAATTATGCCGTACATTACTCTTTTGAAACTACTGTATTTGTAGCACCACAGAATAGGAAAGCCTGCTTGGTTTTTTGCCTAATCACATTAGCAGGAGAGTTAATTTTTATTTCTGTGCAAATTGCACTAAATGTTTTATTGATTCAGCATGTTTAGAAAAAGATTTATCATACCTTAGAGTTATCTCTATTGCTCTGTAGATTTTCAAAATACTTTTTTTCTAAGATATAAATTTCCTGTAACGTGAATGTTGCTGTTTTATTTTACAGTGAAGCAAAAAATTGCCTCATAGACAAACATATTGTGTTCATAGGAGATTCTAGAATTCGACAGTTGTTCTATTCATTTATAAAGCTCATAAATCCCCAAGTCAAAGAAGAGGGAAATAAGGTGAGATAGTTTATTTTGATAATTTTTTTTTGTTTCTTCCCCATTTACCTTATATCTCTTTTCTAAACTTGAGAAAATCAAGAAATGGTACTGTTTGCTGACCTAGCCCTCAGGAAGGAGAAGCACAGAAAGATCTTTTGAAGAATAACAAGATTAGACCAAAATACTTGTTTGGATATAGATGAGATGATTGTAAATCTAAGAAGGGAACTGTGAAGCTCGAGAGAAAGCTTGCAGCAGTCTGCGAATAAATAAATGAAGCTGACTTGTCCCACAGCAACTTAGGCTTCATATTTGGTTTCTTGATGAGAAAATGATTGTTCCTTTGTGTGTTTTTAAATAGTAGTAGTTCACGTC